TTTTGTTTATTCATTCCGGTCTATCTTTCGTTTATCAATTTCTTGTGCTTATTATTATTGTGTGAGTAGACGGCCGCTATGAATGCATATTTGTAATTGATTTGAGACCGAAAGGAGATAATTGATTGCTAGAATTGGGAAATTCATAACATAAGAGACTAAACAGACCGAGAGGTTGATAGAATCTTGCGAGGGAACTAGAATCTTATGAGCTTATGGGAGTTAGTTGTTCATCTTGAGACCGAGAGGAGATAGATAGCAATTAATATCTACAATTTAACTTGTTCGAGAGAAAGGTGTAAATTATTTTAGCGATTATCCCTACGATTGGTAGAATTAAATAAGGTTTGAATGAATAAGAAAACTTCGCTAGAGTAATCCTGAGGAAAGCATAGCCTAGAATTTATTTTCTCATACTTGATTTATTTAGAACAAGCCTTCATTAGTGTTAGAAATTATTTTGCAATCATTCATTTGTTTAGAATAGAATCACCATTCAAATTTGCATTAGTCTAGATAATATTTAATCGTTTATATTTTGGTACTTAATTAGTTTAACAACAATCTCTGTGGAATACGACCTTGCTCGCCGCTTTCTGCAGCTACACCGTACACTTGCGGGTAACAAGTTTTTGGCGCCGTTGCCGGGGATTGTTTTGTTAAAATTAATTAATATTAGAAGAAGACGGGTAGATATTACTTTATTCATTTTTATTTTTGTTTAATACTTTGGTTCTTAATTGCATCCTTTTTGGTTTGTGTGTTTTGACAGGCACGTGCATGATTACGAGGTCTAGTGGGAATTCAACCCTGAAATTTGACCCCGAGATTGAAGCTAGTTGTCGAAGGAACAACGCAAATCGGAGACTACAACGACGACTGAGAAGTGCAATGGAGGAACAAGGTGAAGAGAGATATAGACAGCTCGAGGCACAAATGGCGGAGCTACAACGCCAATTAGCTGCACAGCAGGCTCAACAAGAGACAGGAACACCGGTTCGAAACATCTTCCAACCTCATGCTGACCAAGTATACGGAGGAGGTCACGGGCCGAGAATTGCGGCTAATACTTTTGAGTTGAGCCCGTCCTTGATTCGAATGGTGCAGCAAGAGCAGTTTGGGGGAGCTGCAATCGAGGACCCGAATGCGCATCTGGCGCAATTTCTGGAGATATGTGGTACGGTGAAGTACAATGGAGTCCCGGAGGACGCTATCAGGCTTCGGCTTTTCTCTTTCTCTCTTAGAGATAAAGCCAAGGTGTGGTACCATTCTCTTGAGGCCGGGACAGTGACAACATGGGATGAGATGCGTCAGAAATTTCTCTTGAAGTTCTTCCCACCGAGTAAGATGTTGAGACTTCAGACAAAGATCACTCAATTCAAGCAACAAGATGGTGAGCCTTTATACGAGGCCTGGGAGCGATTCACGCAACTCCTTCGGACGTGCCCACAACATGGTTTTTCGGAGGAGCACCAAATTTGCTACTTCTACAATGGATTGAGTGGCCCGATGAAGGCTATGGTGGACGCCTCAGCTGGAGGCGCCCTTTTGGGAAGGCGACCGAACGACGCGAAGCAAATTCTTGAGGAGATGGCATCGAATAGCTATCAGTGGCCGATTGAGAGAACTATGCTTAAGAGGGTGGCAGCTACAAATGAGATGGACTCAGTGGCGACAATGGTAGCTCAAGCGACCGCAATTGTGCTTAATAACTTGCACGTGGGGAAGAATGAGAGCGTAGGATTTGGGGAGTCGATTGAGAATGTAAGTTATTTGAATGACCGGAATTTTGGAAATTTTCGAGGACCTCAAGCAGGAAACACTTATTACCAAGGCAACCGGAATCACCCCAGTTTATCATATGCAAATCCGAATAATGCTCTACAACCACCTCCAGGATTTTCGGTGACCAACGGGGTCATCAATGAGCCGAAGAAGCCGACAATCGAAGATATGTTCGCCTTGTTCATGACTCAAACGCAACAATTCATGGGCGAATCTCAGGCTAAGCACTCTACCTTAGAGAAGCAAATGAAGGCAATGGAACAGCAAATTGGGCAATTGGCCATAGCAGTTGGAGGTCTACAGCAGAGAGGACAATTTCCGAGCAATACCGAGGTGAATCCAAAGGAGCAATGCAATGTTGTCCATATTCAAGAGGAAAGGGATGAAGTTAAGGAGCCGCCAAAGGGTAAAGTGAAAGAAGTTGAGCCCGCTATGGCTGAAAAAGTCGAGAGACCTTTTGTAACGCCCAAATTTTATATTACTATTTATGGAGCTCGACTATATTTTCATAAATATTAAGTTTCTAAATTTGATGCATTTATTATATTAATATGCATTAAATTATATAATTAGTATTAAAGTTTAAGCCATGGAAAATTCATTCGATTTTAATTATTAAAGTCGAATTTACCAAGCCCAAGTATCAGTTATATTTTTAAAACTGAACCTTGGATTAATTGAATGTTATTTAAGCGAACCGAAACCAGATGATTTGATTATTCCGAGCCCAATATTCAATTCCGACCCAAGTCGAAATATTACTACAAGCCGTCATATTTTATTTATGGACCGAACATTTAATTTCTTAGTCGATGTACGATGTAATCGAGCCTAAGTCGAATTAAATTATTGGCCCAATGTCTAAGCCAATTATTCTAGTAGAGTTGATCGATTAATTTAATTAGTTTAACCGGACATTTAATCTTTTAGTCCATATTCGAATTAATCGGCCTAAGTTATTAATTCCTTTAACCGCTTGTAGGATTTTAAAGGCCCGATTTTATAATTTACTAAAGCCCGATTGTGTTAAATCCCAAGCCCGATCATTTTGAGGCCCAATAGCACAATAAAAACCCTAATTTTCCCCCTATAAATACACCTTCATCTTCACTCCACCATCT